TATCCAACCCCAGATGTTGGGCCCAGGCCCAAGGCTTTAAGGGAGGGGTAGGCAACCTCAGCAATCCAGCTGTGGTGAAACTACAAATCACATGAGGCATTGTAAGACTCTTGACAGCCACAGGCATGACTCCCAGAGGCAGGACATGGTGGGATATGTAGTTTTAACACAGCTAGAGTGCCAGAGTGCCAAGGTTGCCTACCCCTGGCTCCTTCCATGAACAACCAATCCACCATATCACATGCCTTCTTGGCATCTGCAGAGAGAAGGAAGGAGGTGGGGTGCACCCAACAAGCAATCTGCAAAGTTCTCAGAGGGTTGTCTTCTGCCTCCCTAACTGGCATGAATCCAGTCTGGTAGCGGGGAGAAGTTCTGGACGGAACTCCTTGATTTGGTTCACTGGGATCTTAGATAAAATCTTGGCGTCCATTTTGGACAATTAAGCAATGGGAACTATCCCTTCCTTCTCTTTGAACTATCCTAATGTGTGCCAATATGGCTTCCCTTGGGAGGTTCTTCTGTTCTGTCAAGGAACAGGGGACATTCTTTAAGTGAGGAACAAGATGGTAAAGCAACCTGGGCCAGGGCTCTTCGCTCTTCAAGATGGAACATATTTACCACCTTGTCCCTTACTTAAGGAGGGTCCCCTGTTCCGTCAAGGAGTGAGGGACAAGGTGGAAAACCCATCCGGGCCACATTGTAACTACCTGGTATCAATCCATCCAGTCAGGGTGCATTAGGTCTGCAAGGAGCTCCTTGAGTTGGTTCTCCAAGATCTTAGATAGAATCTTGGCGTCCATATTTAACAGGAATTTGGAGGACAATTTGAGCAATAGGATTGGTCCTTGCCCTCCTTAGAAGTACATTAATATGGGTTCCCTTGGGAGGTTCTCCTGTTCTGTCAAGGGAGGGACAAGGTGGTAAACCAATCCAGGCCAGGGCTCTATCTCTATAGGAGATGGAACACACCGTATGTACCACTTTTTTTCTTTTAAGGTCCGTGATGCGTGCATCGAAAGACTCGATCAACCCTGTGAACAAAAAAGTGAATAGTGAAATCACAACACACTAAAAAAAACAAAAGTGCATGAGGGTGCTATGGTCCTCTTCTGATGAGGAAGGGCCTCGAATTTCCTGAACCCCTCGGGGCGCAAGGCTCCTGCCAGGGGCAAGGACAACTTGGGTCCACCTACCCGAAGGCCGGTGAACCCCTCTCCACTGGGACCTGCAGAAACAGGTCAACCGAGTACTAGGTGACGTCTCTCCCATAGAGAGACCTCCTAGTGGGAGGAGGCAGAGGAGCCCAAAGAGGCCATAAAACCTTCTCCCATACATCAGGAAGGCCCCGAAGGTACCCGCACCCTTCGTCTTCTGTGAAGTCAAACAGGTGCATTTGTGCATAAAATAAATAAGGTGCCAGTGCACAAGTCTGACAGGCCTTGCGGCCGCAGAGCAGAATTATTGCCCCAGGCTAGCCATAAGGCCTCCCCTAGAGGTGTAGTGCACAAATAGCATGAAGTGCAGTGACCTAGTGTCAATGCATCACGGTGGGGTCCCACACCTAGGGGATTTTCTGGCACACCTTGGGATGCCACCCCCAAGGGGGCACAGCACCATGGGCCTCTGCACCTCCCGAACCCTCCGGCCAGACCAGAGGTGCAGCACCCGTCCACATCAGGAGGCATTAGTGCTGATTAAGCTCCCCCTCTGCAAAAGAGGTGGACAACGCTGACAGGTAAGAGGCATGCAGCCCACTATAGAGAGCCCACTATAGAGAGTCTATGGTGGGCTCTGCAAGTGACATAACTAGCAATCACGGGGGCCCCATACAAAATTTTGCTATGGGGCCCTGTGATTTCTAGTTACGCCCCTGAATGGGGTGTTCCATTTCTGGAGATATTCTCATTTTTAATGAGCTGAGTGTTCTTTAAAAGTTTTTTTGTGCTTCTTAAAGAAAAAAACCTCCCCGCATCTCTATTAATAGAGGTCTTTCATGGCGGCTAATTCTTAATCCTTGAGAAAAAGCTGATATTTGACTCCGCGTCCCAGCAGCGACGGTGGAAGCTGAGAGGGCAGATTAGGGCACGATTTCCACAAGGTGGCCTCTTTCGATCGCTAAATGGAACCTTGTTTAATAACTTTTCAGCGGAGGCCAAAATTGTAAAGAGATTTTTTTTTTCTTCTCTGGAACATGACATTTTAAATGACTGGGGTCTACGCTCCTACAGTACGGCACTGTTAGATGTGCGTATGATGTCATGAGTCCGGGATTATGTTTGCTCCAAGACCTTTCATTACTCTTTGGAGCCAGGCCAAAGCTTTTTCTCCTGGTGTCTGCCAGCCAAAAAAATTGGGCAGTTTTGTGCTCCTGTAAGAGGATCCAGAAACTGAGCAAATCCTGAAGAGAGACAATTCACAAAATCGTATCATCTTAATAAATATTTGGTCGGGGGCCAACGCTGATAAAAAGTTTCTGGACAATGAGAAGATTTAAAAGGGATTTATTTGAAGCTTTGATGGTGGCGCCATCTAGTGGGAGATCAGCACATTGTGTCTGCAGGCTTGCCTAGTAATGAATGTTTGAATGTAAAGGTCCCCACACACCTCACCATAATCGCGGGAAATCCCGCGATCGTACGATTATCGTAAGGTGTGTGGAAGCCGTGCGACCTCTACTACGGTAAGGTTGCACGACTTTAAACTTACGAACATGTTCAAAAACCCACCGAGCATTGTACGATGTTCGGTGGGTGTGTAGCATGTTCGGAAGATAAAAGCCGGACGGGCCGGTGTGCGCAAGCGCACACTGCCCATTTGTCATTGCGGTCATCGGAAGCCCGCCCCTTAGGGGGGCATGTCTGGAGATCATCGCAAGTGCGATCTGCCTGTCCAAGATGGGCAGATCGTACGTTTTTTTAAGTACCTTACAACCATCGCAAGACAAAAGTGTGTGCCCAGTCTAAAGCAGCTTTGAATGTGTCAGCAATTAAAATAGAACTTTGAGGAAAGCAAGCAGTTAAATTCAGCGAGATCTCCGTGCCTCTCTCTACCCCATACACACAGTATATACACTATATTGCCAAAAGTATTGGGACGCCGGCCTTTACACGCACATAAACTTTAATGGCATCACAGGCTTAGTCCGTAGGGTTCAGTATTGGGTTGGCTCCGCCCTTTGCCGCTCTAACAGCTTCAATTCTTCTGGGAAGGCGTCCACAAGGTTTAGGAGTGTGTCTATGGGAATGTTGGACCATTTGTGAGGTCAGGTACTGATGTTGGGGGAGAAGGCCGGGCTCGCAGTCTCCGCTCTAATTCATCCCAAAGCTGTTCTATAAGGTTGAGGTCAGGACCCTGTGCAGGCCAGTCACGTTCCTCCACCCCAAACTCCCCCATCCATGTCTTTATGGACCTTGCTTTGTGCACTGGTGCGCAGTCATGTTGGAACAGGAAGGGGCCATCCCCAAACTCCTCCCACAAAGTTGGGAGCATGAAATTGTCCAAAATGTCTTTGTGTGCTGATGCCTTAAGAGTTCCCTTCACTGGAACTAAGGTGCCAAGCCCAACCCCTGAAAAACAACCCCACACCATAATCCCCCCTCCACCAAACTTTACACTTGGCACAATGCAGTCAGGCAAGTACCGTTCTCCTGGCAACCGCCAAACCCAGACACGTCCATCGGATTGCCAGACAGAGAAGCGTGATTGGTCACTCCAGAGAACACGTCTCCACTTCTCTAGAGTCCAGTGGCGGCGTGCTTTACACCACGGCATCCCACGCTTTGCATTGCACTTGGTGATGTAAGGCTTGGATGCAGCTGCTCGGCCATGGAAACCCATTCCATGAAGCTCTCTACGCACTGTTGTTGTGCCAATCTGAAGGCCACACGAAGTTTGGAGGTCTGTAGCTATTGACTCTGCAGACAGTTGGCGACTTCTGCGCACTGTGCGCTTCAGCATGCGCTGACCCAATACTTTTGGCAATATAGTGTGTGTATGTAAACATATATACACACATATTTTATAGATTCATTTTTTATGTATGAATGTTGGCATCCTGCGTGTAGTGTTTAAGGTTCTTGTTGTGAAGAATTATTTAAAGTTACATAGTTACATAGTATTTGAGGTTGAATAAAGACATTAGTCCATCAAGTCCAACCTATTAGGATCTCATTCTAGGAGTACCCGCACCCCTGTCTATTACCTGTACCCCTGTCTATTACCTGTACCCCTGTATATTACCTGTACCCCTGTCTATTACCTGTACCCCTGTATATTACCTGTACCCCTGTATATTACGGTCCCTTAAGAAATCGTCCAAAAGTTTCTTGAACAATTCCACATTATTTGCTGAAATCACCGCCTGCGGCAGTGAGTTCCAGACCCTAACTGATCTTACTGTGAAGAACCCCCTTCGCCCATTGTGCTGGAATTTTTTCCCACCAATTTTAGGTGGTGGCCTCTAGTTTTTGTAATGGAGTTAATTTTAACCAGTTTATCGCTAATGTTGCTACCACCAAGTGTTTTTGGTATGTCTCTCCTAGAAAGGGCAAGACCTCCTGGCTTAGTCAATTATACACAGGATGCTAACAAGCACACATGCAGGGTTGGGGTTTTTATTGCAAAGTCCTAGTTTAGAAGAAAAATGACCTTTACCTTTAGAAATGTGTTATGGGGTAGCCACAAACAGGGCATAATAATTACGCATTATTCAAAAATGATGTGATGACCTTCTGGGTTAGTCAGTTACACACAGTCAGTTACACACAGGGGGGTGTTTTTATTACAAAGAAGGCCAGCTTGCTTTGCAAAGTGTGGGTCCTGGATGTACCCCGTGTGAAATTTGTTTTGTAATTAAGATTTTAGGACAAATAAAAAATCTGGTGGGCTTTACACTAAGAAAACATGATCTAAAGCGTCAGTTTCTAACTTGGTAATGAATATTAGTGCACAAGACTAAAGTGAAACATGAATCAGTAAATACAATAAAAGACTCAGTCCGCTTTCCAAATAAATTTACTTTCTTCAGCTTCTATCTCCAGTTCACATACATTGCTGAGTGACGAACTACATTGACAGACAGGACAGGAGGGAGGGGGAGGGGCAGACGAGGTGGACAGGTGAACAATAATCCATGTTTCAGTTGCGATGAAGCCTTGTCCGCTTATGTGATGACCGTTGGGGCTGTGCGGCCCGTCCTCTCTTCCAGCTTGGACAGTTTAAGTGCTATGGTAACCAGAGGGGCCAGCATTACCTGTAATGGAGAAGAGAAGACAATTTATTGATTTTATGGTGACACACCTCGTTTCAATTAAATTAAAAGGCAGAGGTTTTATTATGCTACGTGAATCTAAAACTGAAAAACTATTTTAGTTTTAGCCCAAAAGTTTGTGGACATCTATCGGTGTGATAAATGTCCTATGTGGGAAAAAGTATGTGGATGGCCCTCCAAACTATGGAATTCAGGTGTTACCAGTTACGGGGAGTGTTAATGATAGAAGACCTTTTACTTTGTGGTAACTAGGGCTGCAGCTAACAATTATTTTCATAAACGATTAGTTGCCCGATTGGTTGCATCATTGCCAACTATTATCGATTATAATCTATTTAATCGACTCGTTGTTGGTAACAGTTTGGTGACGACCCATTTCTGTTCCACCATGACAGTGCCCTGTGTACAAAGCCAGCTCTATAAAGACACGGTTTGATTAGATTTGTGTGGAGGAACTCAAGTGTCCTGCCCAGAACCCTGACCTCAATCCTACTGAAGACCTTTGGGATGAACTGGCACACCAAATACAAGCCAGGTCTTCCCATCCAACATCAGTACCCGACCCTCACAAATGGGTCTAATGACCGAAAGGGCACAAATTGCCACAGACACACTTCAAAATCTGGTGCAAAGACTTCCTAGAAGAGTGGAGGCTGATATAGCTGCCAAGGGGGACCAACTCCAGGAGTGTATCTAGGAAACATGGCACAAGAATCATTTACCACCAGCAGATAGCAGATGGTGCAAAGAAGTCACTTCTCCACCGCTATCACTTTCCAACTTTGCTGTGAGCAGGCTGCAATGCGATCTCCTACACAGAACAACCCTACAAGTGAATGACCAGAGATTTTTTTAATTAATAATTTTTGGATGGATTTTTTTTTTTTTACTTGGATGTAATTTTGTTGTTTGGTCCCACCAGGAAGATTTGCCTTCAATTCCTGTCTTGGGGGGAATTCTGCCCAATAATCAAGTATAGGAACGTCACCAGCACGACAAAGACTAAGATGTCAGTGCAAATCAATTTATTTTGATGTCAAATATCACTCAAAGTGTCATCAAGCGCTTTCGGGGCCCCACAGGGTCCCCTTCATCAGGCTCAGACTAAACCCCTGATGAAGGGGACCCTGTGTGGCCCCCGAGAGCGCTTGATGACACTGAGTGATATTTGACATCAAAATAAATGGATTTGCACTGACATCTTAGTCTTTGTCGTGCTGGTGTGCTGGTGACGTTCCTATACTTGATTATGCTGAATGCAGTGCCCTCCGCGGTCATTGCGAGCACCCACAAATGCGTATGGAGTTCCGGTAAGGAGTGCTACAGGTCTTTGGATATTTTTTTCTGCCCAATAATGGCACAGGTACAAATGGGCCCCAAATACATTTCCGAATTGTTGCTGGGAATGCCTCCAGACGCCGGGTCTGGCACCAAACAATTGATTTGTTGGATAATTGTTTGGTCATTGGTTTATATTAGTGTGGATCATTTTATAATGGTTTGATAAGGGCATGATGGATGTTCTAAACTTGGTAAAAGAAGAGTAATACCTTGCATAAAATGAGTTTCCATTTTTTAGGGCCATAAGGATATGTTAGGGTACGTAATTAAAATGTATGCAATATTAAATAATTACAATTATATTTTAATATCGTGCATTTTTTTTCTCTTTTGAATGTAATTTGTCTTGTGTTAGATGCTTTTTAAGGACCCGTTCACATTGAGCGGTTCGCAAATCGGGCGTTTGTCGTGCGATTTGCATTTTGCGCAATATCGTGCAAATGCTTGCATTGAGCAAGCTTGAATCGCGGCTAAATCCGCTCCAAAAAGGGTCCTGCTGTAGCGACACACGACCCGCGACAGCAGGACCCTTTGCCCCATTGAGAAGCATTGGAGAGCGATATCGCGCGGTAAATTGCCGCGATATCATGGGAATTACCGCGCGATAAATCGCTCAATGTGAACGGGGCCTAAAAGGTTTATTGAAAAAAATAAATAGACGGGATTTTTTGCTTCAGCACTTATACAAGGATAAAAAAATTGGATTAAATTCCACTTTAATTTCCATTATCAGCACATTTCCACCATAGTTATAATATATAGAAGAACCGCGGGTAAACACACGTCGTACGGCTTAAAAAATGGCTGAATAAGGGATTTTTTTTTGTTTACTCAAATCTACTTTAATAAATGACTAAAAAAAAGATGTCATAGAGCTGCACATATATTCTTATCCAGGTCTAATAACATTTTAGGACAGGATGTGGAAAACGACTGGGACTTGCAGCGAGTAACTGGCGCTCGCAGCTGTGTACACAGCGGTGACAATAACGGGCAGTATTACAAAATGGGCGCCTGCTTCCTGCACCTGCGAAATGTTTAGCCAGCCCCCTGAGCAGCGCAACGAAGGGCCCACCTTTTTATACCCCCTTACAACCAGTTTATAGTGTTCGATATACAGATGGAGTTCTTCATTTGCTGACATTGCTTTTTTTAATGTCTACCTCCCTCATTTCACGAAAAGCTCTTTTTTGCAATGTAGACACCTGTAGACAAAGGGAAATGCTATCCCGGACAGAATGCCAACTAGACGAGGGAGGAATTCAGTTTGGGCTGCATGCAGGAGACAATATCTTGGCTAGAGACTGATGAAATTAGGAATTAAAAGCTCGTTAAGATTTCATTTCCAGACCCACGATGAGGCACGCTGCAGGATTCAGCAAAAAAAAAAAAAAGGGAGAGATTAATCAAATTGTGGGTTTGGAAGAGTTCAGCATTATTTAAGCCATCACAGTAGGCGGTAAATGTGATTTAAATAGCGATTGTATTGTAAAGAAATTAAACCTGGAAAGTGGTGAAAGGGGGTTTTGGCTTTTTCTTTTTTTTTTTTAAGCAAGAATTAACCACTTCAGTTCTTACACCTGTTCACCTCTTATGGACTAGAGCAATATTTACCTTTCCGCAATGGGCCTACTGATTATTCCATTACATTTATAATGCACAATTAATTAGGGATGCATCGATACGGGTTTTTCTGTATCAAGCACCGATATTTTTTTTCCCGTTACTCGCCGATACTGAATACCGATACCAGAAGTCCCATTTAGGAAGCCAGATGGCATTTAATGACTCGCCGCCTGGCTTCCCGATTAGCATTATGTGCTTTCTGGCCAATCAGGAAGCCGGGGGGGCATGTAATGACTTGCCCTCCCCCCCTTCCTGATTGGCCGGGAAGCTGTCACCTGGTGACGAGGGAGTATGGAGCCAGCTTCCCGGCCAATCAGGAGGCCGGGCGGCATGTCATGACTCGCCACCTGTCTTCCTGATTGACTGGGAAGCCGGCTCCATGCTTCCTCGTCACCAGGTGAAGCTGGGCGGCGAGTCATTACACATCACCTGGCTTCAGGATTGGTTGGGAAGCCGGGGGGCAATTCATTACATCCCCTCCCGGCTTCCTGGTTGGTCAGGAAGCCAGCTCCGTGCTCCTTGGGAGCATGGAGCTGGCTCCATGGCCAATCAGAAAGCTGGGTGGCATGTAATGACTCACTGCTCGGCTTCCTGATACTGGAAGTATCGGTATAACTATCGAGAGCATTTGGGTGAGTACGAGTACCGATACTAGTATTTCTATATGCCTACAATTATTACATTTATTAATAAAAAAATATTTTGAAATTCTATTTTATTATTCAATATATAATATACAGTACAAGTATATATTTTCATAATTTCATTTTCTATGCAATCTCCAGAGGTACAAAGAAAAAACACCTTAATTTCTAGTGTTACTGTAGAAAAAATGATGCTATATTTTGCCCATTTATAATACTAAAAAATGATTAATTCTGGCACAGAGCATGCCAAAAGTATTCACAAATAAAATAAAAAGTTTTTTTTTGTTTTTTTTTTTTGTTTTTTTTCAAGCAACGCTACAAAAAAAATAAAAATAAAAAAATGAGAAAAAAAGAGTTATTCAGGGCAGGTTATGATAACTAACATTATAGGCAGACCTAAGGACACACTTTTGATCTGCACACAAAGTAATTAGTGGAAATACATATTCAAAAACACTTTGGCAACATATTTTTTAATGATGCGCGCAAACACTGTCCTCAGACAAATGTTGGACATGTGCCACCCTTTAAAGCCAGATCTTGCTGACAATAATGCCAACAATGGCTCCGGCAGGGGAGGAGAGTGTAGAAGGTACGTCAAAAGAATTTAGATTAAATCACTTAGTGTGTACCTTGTAAGCAGAAGATCCACAACCAGTTAAAGTGGACGTCAGTGCAAAATAAAGAAAGACATGTGCAGTACATGCCTGCAATGCGTGATCCGAAATGTATTCTGCTCCTAATTTCTTGTTGTGGGCTGACAACACGTTCCCTCTCAGCCCTGCCCAGTCGTCTCCAGACTTGAGATCACACCGTCACAGTTCGCTAGCCACAGGACAGGATTAACAGGTAATGTACATATACACTGAGTGGCCAGATTATTATGACCACCTACACCTAGGTGCTGAAGTTGCTAGAGGGCCAGACCATTATAAATAGGGAAGCAGGTTGTTTGCCACGACAGTAGAAGTGATTTGTTTCTGAAGATACGGTGAAACAACGCGATGTAACAGCCTTTGAACGTGGGATGATTGTTGCCGCTCGGAGCCATGGAGCGAGTATCAGCAAAACAGCAGAATTCGTTAAATGTGCAAGAGCAGCTGTTGTTAAAGTGTTTAAAGACCGGACTGTCAGCCGAAAATCTGGGTCTGAACGTGCGAATTGTGGCCGTCAGCGACTAGTCAATGTTAGGGCAGAACGGAGAGTGGCAAGACTGGTACAAGACAACAGAAGGGTAACAGCGCAGTGTCAGATTCCTCGCATCACCTTTCATCATCTCGTGGAGTCACCCAACGAAGTACTGATGGGGTGGGCATAATAATCTGGCCACTCAATGTATGAGAAGTTCATAGTAAGGGTTAATTGCACTTAACACTTGATTGATACTTTGCATTAAAGGAGAACTATGGGGGGGGGGGTCAGTGCTTTTCCCCATAGTTCTCCCCAGGGTCACGGGAGGACATAAACTAGCGTTTTCCCGTGACCCAAAACTTCTTCTGCAGGTAGATGATCGGGAAGTGAGCGAGCGACAGTATGTGTTCGCTCACTTCCCGATCTATTGAGCCGACGTGTGACAGATTCATTGTCGCACGTCGGCTCGAACTATGAGGATGAGTGATTTTCACTCACCTCATAGTTCTCCTATAATCTAAAATCTACTAGTTGTGATAACAGGACAGTGACTTGGCATGCATGCGCAGAACAGGAGCGGAACGAACATGACGCCATTTTGGAAAAACCAAGCTATCGGCCATCTTGGCAATGCATTTACCTGAGGATCCTGGTATATTTTGGGGGCATCCTTTTCGTAGCTGTCTATATATAACCTGATAGTTGCTCCGGCACTGCCGGTACCACTGAGTCGGAAGATGATACGGGAGCCATCGGTGAAGATGAGCCTTAATCCCTGATGAGAGAGAACAATAAAAAATCATGTTATGAGTAACCCGGGGAAAGAGCACAGACTGGTTTTGGAGGGAGGACTGGCGGCAAAAGAAGCCGAGCATATTGGGAGGGTTGGAGAGGGACAGACACCAGTCAAGGAATGGAAGACTAAAAAAACGGAATAAAAATCTGATTTTCAGCCTCAGCTGCCATGGCGGGCGCACCTGGTTCCTTGAAATGCTTCCATCAACCGGATCGCTGTATTCAAAGTTGTCAGCTTTTTCAACAGTGTAAACTTTGTCTCCAACCGCCAACTTCTGCCCGATAAAGGAACGGTCGAACATGACGGCTTCCAGGTCTTTCATCATCTTGTTGGCGCCTTCGGAGTCGACCTCCTCGTAGTCGTACCTGCACAACAAAAGAGGTTCTAAAAAGTTAACTGTGTTTTTAATAGACATGTGCGATTTGTTTCGTTCCGAATCGAAATTCCGAATTACAGATATAACGAATCCGAATTTCCGATTCCGAAATTCCTTAGCGGTAGTCTGGACGAAATTTCATTATAGCAAAGTGACATTTGAGAAAAAAAAACCTTTTTTTTCCTCTTAAATGTCTTTGCTGCAACGAACGAAAGAACGAAACGAATTTTCGTCCAAATCCGTATTCCGAAACGAATTGACTTTCAGACCCGAATTCCGAAAAACGAAATAACTAGTCTCGGCACTTTGTGAGGTACGCACCCGACCACTAAATAGAGCACCATCTAAGCCAGGGGTAGCCAAACTCCAGCCCAAACTCCAGCTGGCTCTGCCTATCTAGAGGCAGAGCCAGCTGTACCCGCCCCCTCTCCCGTCCGTTCCGCCAGTCAGCGCAGGCGGATCGGAGCGGGGAGAGGGGAATCCAGCCCCTTCCCTGTAACGGCAGTGAGCTGTGACAGGATCGATGGGTGAGCGAACGCCGGTATGTGTTCGCTCACCTCCCGATCTACTGAGCCGACCTGTGACCGTCTCATTGTCACAGGTCGGCTAGAACTATGAGGTGAGTGAAAAGCACTCACCTCCCCCCTCATAGTTCTCCTTTAATAACCGTTTGACTTTAATATCACTTTAAGCTCAATAAACGTTATTTGCATAAAAGGCAGATTAAGTAGAACTTTTTTTTACCTGGTGAAGAAATTTCTCCCGAATTTCTGCCAATGGTCTTTCAGGATGTCTTCTACGCTCTGTTTGCGGGTAGCAATGATCGATAACCAGGCCAGGACAGCCCAGAGGCCATCTTTTTCCCGGATGTGATCAGATCCTATGTACACGTTAATAGAAAATATAAATAAAATCAGCTGTGTCCATGTTGGCTTTGACACAAAGGAGGCAAGAAATGACCCCAAATTTGTAGTTTTGGTTAATCTTATTTTCATTTTTTTTTAAAGTTTAAAAACTGATCTATAATTTTTATTATTTGATGATAAAAAATATTTAAGAAAATTAGAATTAAATACAGGAGGCTTCATGATTCTGAAGGGACTGGAGACTATGCAGGGCTGCCTAACCAAAAAGCCCAGCACTAGCTCTACATAATTATTTTTTTTGTTCCCTGACCCAAACACATTTTTATTTTATTGTGTTTATAATTGGAGAGGTTTACCCATTTATAGGACTTCTGTTAGACAGAAAATGATGGGAAAGCATTTGCAGAGTTATTCACAAAGGGGTGAAGAGTTTGGAGAAGTGAACAATCTAGGACAACATAGCGGATCTGGAAACATTCTCCAATTCAGCTCACTTTCCAGGTCAGCGATGTTGTCCTAGATTGTTCACTTCTCCTGCCTTCTCCAAACTCTTCACCCCTTTGTGATTAACCCTGTTAATGTTGTCACCAGTACAGGACGTCAGGGGAAATCTTCCAATAGGAAGTTGAAACCTGTTCTGATAACAGTATAAAAGGGCTATTCTCCTCACTTAAAAGGAGAACTATGAGGCGGGGTGCTTTTCACTCAGCCTCATAGTTCTAAACCGACCTGTGACAATGAGACTGTCACAGGTCGGCTCAGTAGATCGGGAGGTGAGCGAACACATACCGGCGTTCGCTCACTTCTCGATCCTGTCACAGCTCTCTGCCGTGACAGGGGAGGGGCTGGATTCACCAGCGCTGACTGGCGTAACGGACGGGGGAGGGGGCGGGTACAGCTGGCTCTGCCCCTAGATAGGCAGAGCCAGCTGTCAGTCACATAGCTGGGCGGATCCCGGCACAAATGTCGGGAACCGCTTCACCTGCGGCGTCTGAGTATACTGCGAGCTACAGCTCCCTATATACTGAGCCTAGGGTGACGGGAGGGCGCTAGGTTTGTGTTCTCCCGTTACCCTAAGGAGAACTATGGGGAAAAACACTGACCCCATAGTTCTCCTTTAAGAAGGATTTTATCTCACTTCCCGTTTTGTCTGCATGCTTTACTTCTTTTCAGCTGGGGAGCGCGCATCACTGCAGTTGTGATTTATGTCCTTTGAAATCTAGGAGAGCGTGCAAGCAATAAATTGGGGACAGAGAGAGGGCGAGAATCCTGCGTGAGAGCAGTATTGACTAAGGTGCTGTGATGTTTTCAGAAAGATATGTACAGCACCCTTGCTGGCCCCTCCCACCAGCCGTGAGCCGCCTGCATTGCATAGAGAAACACAGAAACCCATCAATGGGTATAAAATAAGATATGAAATTCAAACAAAGATTTTATTTAATATCATGAAGCGTGTTGATGAGTTGGGAGAAGCAGCACCAGGGAAGGCAAAATATAAGCAGATTAAAAGGAGAACTATGGGGTGAGTGTTTTTCCCCATAGTTCTCCTTAGGGTAACGGGAGGACACAAACTAGCGTCCTCCCGTCACCCTAGGCTCAGTATACCGCGAGCTACAGCTCGCGGTATACGGAGACCGCCGCAGCCGGGGTGGATCCAGACATTGCTGTCGAGATCTACCCAGCTGTGTGATTGACAGACAGAGATGATTGATAGAGGCAGGGCCAGCTGTACCCGCCCCCTCCCCGTTCGTTCCCCCAGTCAGCGCTAGCGGATCGGAGCGGGGAGATGGGAACCCAGCCCCTCCCATGTCATGGCAGAGAGCCGTGACAGGATCGAGAGGTGAGTGAACCCGGTATGTGTTTGCTCACCTCCCGATCTATTGAGCCAACGTGTCACAGTTTCATTGTCACACGTCGGCTGACCCGAAAGCGTGTTGCCAGTCACAATACATTTTTGGCTTTCCCCTATTTCCATATACCAGTCAGAATTGAACCCGTACGTCGGTCACATAGAAGGAGAAAGAAAATACATTGTCCGAAACTGAGCAGCCAAACAAAACTTTTATAGAAAAAAACGAAATCGAAAATAAAAGTTCTGGTCAGG